CATTTCTTACATTGAGGGATTAATTGAGATGCTTGTATTGGTACAATTTCTACTTTACTGCCCAATATGTGAGTTATTTTGTATATTTCACCTATGCAATGAATGTAAAATTACGTCTCTGTGTTCTGGTGATACGCGTCATCAACTTATGCGCGGTGTTTCAATTAATGTGCCGACAAAGGCACTTTTTTATCCGTTGCGGCTAGTTGCCAAAAATGTATGAGATAACGATTTTTCTTCTTGGAAAACGGTGAACGGAAAACAAACACTCGAATATCTAACGAATACGAATAGAAATACTCGAATATTTGGATACTCAAATATTCGAATATTCGAATACTCGATTATTCGAATATTTGTCAGATATTCGAGTGTTCGAATAATTTTGCTATTCGAATAAACCCCTAAACGAATATTCGAATATCAGATTTTTAAAAATTCCGAGCCCTAGTATATTTTAAACAGATAGAACGTCTTCAAATCACCAAAATTTATTGATTTTTTAGTTCTATTCAGATACAAGTTGAAGCAGCGAAAAGTATTAAGTAATGCTGAACGCCAAAAACGATTTCAAATGAGCATTCAGTAATAGATCAACTCAAAGTAGCTTTCATCAACTGACGTCGAAGATTATACATACAAAGCAAATAAGAAATTACGACTAAAAATACAGAAACTCAAGAAGAAGACTTTACACAAACCCAAGAAGAGCAATTTGTAGAACCTCTCGTTGAAGAATATTAACCAGAGCCTAAATACTGAACGTATAAAACCCGCGTTTGAGCAAATAATTTTTGGCAATGACCATACCACGTTGAATAATACCGGTTCTCGTCCGATCACCGAAGTTAAGCAACGTCGGGCGCGGGGTTAGTACTTGGATGGGTGACCGCTTGGGAACACCGCGTGCGGTTGTCTTTTTGCAATGCAAGCAAATGTTGCAAAAAAAGATATTTTACATTCAAAAGGAAATTAAATTACATTTTACTTATTCCTGATCTATTTATAAATTATTAAACCAAGGATAATATTAAAATTATAAAATAAAATTATTATTGCCATCATGCGTTAAACAAGATCGATATTATGTTTTGTATGGTTTCTATAACTATATGAAGATGTCACTTTTGTCGAGCGTTCCGTGACGCACACCATTTTTTTTTACTTATTGGAGTTGATGACATTGATAACATAAAACAGTACTAACTAGAGATGGGGGAAAACATCGATGTTTCGCAAACATCGATGTAATTCGTTCGATGTTCGATATTTTTACCATCGATGTTGGAACATCGATAAAACATCCTGAAATGAAAACATCGGACATTTGATGTTGATACTAGATAGAAACATTTTCTGCGAACTCTTTGATAGTGCCGATACAAACGATACCGCGGCATAGCGGCCCATTTCCAGTTGCCCCCGAAAAAAGCCTCCTTTTGCAGTCAGTTGACCGAACAATGTGGCAACTATAAGTTGAACAAATTTACCCGATTATTTAATGTCATAGTAGTAGTAAAATAAAATTATTTAAGTTTAAGTTAATCAATTTGAATTTTGTATGCAACTGTAAACTATCAGAACATCGATGTTCTGCCTTCGATGTTTTCCTAACATCGATATTACCTTTCGATGTCAACATCGATGGCTACCATCCATGTTATAGGATCGATGTCCCATCCCTAGTATTAATACACTTTTCGATCTGTTTCTATTTCTTTAAAAGCTTACAAAAGTTGATTAGAAGAAAATAAAACAAATCACAATCAGATATAGACACCAATCTCAACAAAACAAGTGTCAAATTACTAATTAACTTTTAGCCACCAGGGGGCGTCTGGACTTCGAAAATGACGTGTGCGAATTATTTTTAATTTCGCACAGCCACGAAATGAAGATAAAGTAATAAATGAAGCTGTGGAGGTTAATGTCCCGGTCGTTGCACGCCGGTATTCACAGATTTCAACAAGAAAACTTGCAGCGGAATCCGGAACTTCCCAAAGCATCGTAATGAGAGTTGAAAACACAAATTTCATCCGTATAAATTATTAGTATCAACTTTACACCCAGGGGATGGTGAGCTGCGAGTGATTTTTTGTACGTGCTTCCGAAACAAACGCCAACAGGACATCCAATTCCCTTACTATAGACCGATGAAACTCTATTTACGAATTGTGGGATGTTTAATCGACACAATAAACATATTTGAAATCAAACAAATTGCCCACGCTTTGAGCAAAGGACCACAAATTAAATTTGGATTTACCGTTTGGTGCGGAATACTGGGTTCGGTATCTTCATTTCCTTCGGAATGATATGGATATTATGTTGGACGACTTAGATTTAGAAACACGGAATCATGTGCATTGGATGCACTGGTGGTGCATTGGTGCATCCATCCGCATAATTTTTCGAAAGAGCGGAAACATCTGGACGAAGAATGAAGAAACGGTCCTATTTTATGGCCACCTCAATCACCGGATCTTCCAGTTAAATATGGAAATTTAAATGAACTTAAAGAAGCTGTTGTTAGAACATTTGAAAATATTGAGGGTCGGTCAGTTAAAAAAGCAACTTGTTCAGTTTTGAAGCGCTGCAATGTTTGCATTGATAATAATGGTGGACTTTTGAAAATATTTTGCAATAAAAAATGATAGTTTCTAGTGTTCAATTTCAAGGTAGTTGTCAAAATAAGTATTGAAGCATATTGCTATTAACAATGAAAGGCTTCGGGCGTCAGCAGAGCCGTCATGAGCTTTTAATGAGAGCTAATAGGCTCGAAACCAGTTCTGGGAGTGCCTGAGGTTGGCGCATTTCGAAATCTGCATTTGTATATTGTTATTATTTGTTACTATGGAAACAATGCTGTTAATACCGTATACTTACTATTTTCCATGGCTAACTTCGATCAACTACATTGAAAAACTAAAAATCATTCAGTCACTTCCATTTCGAAAAAACCTAACGATATGATATATCACTAAAATCGTCATAAAATGCTCTATTTAATAAAGGCATAATCAAATATGGTCCATTAAAACACCCAAGTTTATGCCATATGTGAAAAATGAGAATTATTTTGTAAAAATGTCTGATGCCATTTTATTTGGAATTAAATTTCCTAAAACTTTTCTTTTTAATGTTTTGTTATATTAATACTAGGAGGACGGAACTAGGAGTTATTTAAAAATTTATCATAAATTCGTTTTCTTCAAATATATCTTTTCTCCCATCAAATTTTTTAAAAAGAAAATAAGTTTCGAGTAGAGCATTCAAAACTGCAATTATTTGTTGCATTGCAATTTAACTTTCGTTGTATTTGCTGTAGTTTCCAAGATCCCTGTACTAGTCATCGAAAAAACTCACCCTGTATATGTAAAACATAATTCATCAATAAAGTTAGTTACTGAGAGTTGTATTATAAAAAAAACCAAAAAAATTGGAAAAACACTACAAAAATAAAAATTTTTGTTTACAAATTACTACTAAAGTTACTTACTTTTTGTGCGTAAGACTGAGGATTGGGATTTTCGTTTGTATATAATTGTGTCGCAAGTTCTTGGATATGCACTATAACTAACCTAGGATCCTGAAAACAAACGCGCTTTTGAATAAATGTGTACAATATTCAAATTGTATATTAAAATTGACAAATTACTGGAAAGTATCTACCTGCATCTCTTTTTTAAACAGGTCATTCAAGTTGCTATATAGCTCATCCCAAACATCGCAAGGTCTCCAAGGTGGTCCCCTTTCAGATACAAAACTAGTAAAGAACATGCAGTCTAACACTCTCGTGGTAAAATCACAGTCACGTAAATTCTTTTCACCTTAAAAACAGATTTATTTTGATTCTAAGCATCACAGAATACTAGTGTTATATATTCACCTAAGAACGCCGCTTTATGGAACGTAATAACCGGTTTCGGATGTATCCTAATCAATGTTAAACAACTTCTATACCTAAAATGTTATAATGTTGGCTTGCTAGGTTTCTTTGAGACTTAATTATTAGAGCCATACACCCAAGAATAGTATGAAGCTAAGCTTACCCTTGAAGTAATTCGGCAAAAGTCCTCATAAACACAGCGCGGATTTCCTTGTCAAGCATTACAGGTTGAGGCGCACGTAATGCCAATGGTGGAAAAGCATGATCAGCGCAACTTAACTCAGGCTGCAAAATCAAACTTAGCGCTTCCTGAATTTGGTTCAATAAAGGTTCAGAGAGCAACGGCACAGATATGCCATCTGGTATTAGAATAGAACCACCATCAAGGTCAGCCACAATTACGTCCATCTAAAATAAAGTTTTGATTAATATTGGAGGTATAAAAACCTAGTTTTTTTTGTCTTACCAATTCAGCAACTTCTGACCTCAAAGAAGAATGCACCCCCATTATAAAAGGAGTTGGGGTAGATAAAACTTCAACCAGAGGAGCTGGAAGCAGGGGTATGTAAACATGAGTGTATCTAAAGGGGTACATTAAAGCTGTTAACGCTCTGCATGCCTCAGTGAGCCTGAAAACCAAAGTATTATTTGCAAGTCAAGAAATTGCAAGTCAAGCTTCAAATAGCTACTACCTATTATAACTTTTAGAATGGAAGAGTATTTTGTGTTCCGTCATTATGGCACAGAAGAGAGTAATGACGTTCCGAATTCCCAACTGCTGGAAGAGCAAGTTAACGGACGTATGGGTAACAGGAAGGGAGGGCGATAATGGAGGCTGCAGAGCTTGTCTATCACCAGCACCAATGCTACGAAAAAATATTTATTTGATCAAATCTCAACCACCTTAATTTGTAAAAAATCACCAACCTAAATCTAACTTGCGGCCCCCCTGGCGGAGGAACTTGGATGCAGCCCAAAATGTTACCGACTAAAGTTTCTAATGGTACAGGCATATTTTCAACATAAACACAGTAGATTATGCCCAGGCAGTTCTAAAAGATTTGCATTCGTAAAAAAGTGTATTTATATTATTACATTTTGATGAACACTCACTCTAAAAGTTTCTATATAGTCCAACCTAGAGACCAAAACTAAACACTTAGGAGCATACATTATACTGCTGTGTAATATCGATGGAATTATTGGTTTTAATAGCGGCGTTTCCCCGTCTACAGCATCTTCTTCCTAGAAGATTCAGAGTTAATTGTGTTATTGAGTTAATTGCAGTTATCTAGTTTAAGTGTTCCTCAAATTCGATCAAAGTAGCGGCAGCAAATATGAAATAAAATCAAATTATGAAGGATGGATGGACATGGATTTATATCTTGTATACAGGGTGGTTTTTTCAACTTGAAACACTTAAATATTTCGGAAACGAGTGATTCGAGGAAAAATGTTTCAAATAAGAAGTTAATATATGGGAGGGAAAGTTTATTCGTGTCAGAAAAACAACGCCTGCTTCGACCTTGTAGGCTAGTAATTGAACTTGATGATTTGAAATGGTAACCACAACATTTTACTGGAGATTCGAGTAGTACGTCAAAAAGTGAGAATAATGTATCTAATACATTTAGTTTTTGTATGCTTCGATTTTGACAAGTGTAGATGCAGATCAACTTGCAGGAGTTGGTAAAAGCGGTTTGTTTTTTATAGCTGTGCATTGAGGGGTGCGTCTCGAAGACAGACAAATTCCTAGTCTCAGCGATGCTCTTAAATGAAGCGATCATTCGGCTTCGATTTATAAATATTGATATTATCAACTGTGCCCTATGAGAAATGGGAAATGGAAATCATGTGGACTCCGGAGTCGTCTTACCGAGATCCTGCAGTTTCGCGGGTCTGAGGATGTCGATGTAGCGTTAATCGTGGAAACATGGTTGTACCCTGGGGACAGAATCAGAATGCGGGGATACAGGCTCGAGCGTGCCGATAGGCCCAGTCTAAGAGGTGGAGTGGCCATAGCGGTCAAAACAACGTTTCCATACAGGAGACTGCCATGCATGCAATCAGTAATATAGACCGTGGGCGTAGAGCTTCCTCATGGTGTTTTGAGCTGTACTGTGGGTACTCTACTTCTATTCGATTGCAGGCCACTGACGTTGATCCATTCTTTTTAAACACCAATAGAGTGTTGCTTATAGGAGATTTCAACACCCGACATCCACTCTTTAATAACCCTAGACGGAAAAACGTAGTTGCAATTTTCTGACCAACTGTTTATGTTGTTCTGACCAACTGTTATGCCCACAAATTCCCCAACGCACTATCCGAACAACGGAGGTAACCCATCCTTCCTGGACTGCGGAATTTCCAAAGGACTCATCAATCTCACGGAGATTGGCGCTTAAAGACGCCCCCAGCAGTGACCAATTGCCTATTTACCTTGATATTAGAGATTTAAAGCGCACGCAAACTAACGACTTTCGAAAGAGAGTTCAAGACTTGACGCGTATTCCGAACCCGACCGATACTGTCGAAGCTCTAGAGCTTGCCGAAAAATATCTGACGAGGAATATACAACGGACACAGCAAGCTCTGACCAAAAAAGTTCCGAATAGACTGCTGCGCGACTACCTTGCTGAGGAAATTTTGGACCTTATTAAGGCGAAAAATCGAATCGGGAAGCGTTAGCGAAGATTCAGGCAATCTGCTGATCGTATAAGCCTTAAACAGGCAATCTGCTGATYGTATAAGCCTCTGGTATCCTTATACTATAAGGGCAGCAGAGCTTGCACAAGACATACAGCGTGAAATTTCCGCATACAGAAATTTTACCTAGGCGGAAAAGCTACGCAATCTAACTAACTCCCTGTGACAACTCTGTGGAAACGGTCGAGGGGCTCCAAAAAGGGTACAAACAAGCCCCCGCTGTTCAAAAGGAGGGGCGGAGTTACATTACCACCAGTGACAAGTGCGAGCTGCTCGCCGACTTTTTGGCAAAAGTACATACACAAAGTGCAACCAGCCCCTCATGCTGTTTTTGTAAAACGGAAGTATCCTATAACACCCTCGATTTTGCATTTTTATATAACAACCCCGTCTGAGATTAACTAGTATCTTCGCCGTCTAAGTCTCCTAGCCGAAAAGCCCCAGGCACAGACGGCATTCCCAATTTCCCTCTTAAACGCCATCGGCAAGCGAAGTTGCAAGCGGCGGCCGAACTTAGAACTTTCATCCCACTACAAAAATAACACAATACATATCGTCATTCTATGCTCAGGCTGCGAAATTTCGCATTGCACATCACCTGAGTTTATTGACGCCATATTTCGACACATGGAAACTTAAAGTGACTGCCAGGATGACTAAACTTATTATATTTTCGCGCAAACTCACTAACAATAAAATCCTATCGCCACTCATGGTCCAAAACACTCCAATCAAACCAGTACAAGAGGTGAAATACCTGGGATTCAAACTAGACGCCCGACTTCAGTTCCATAAGCATGTTGACTATGCTATACAAAAGACTTTCATGGCCCAAAGAAAGTTATACTCTCTTCTAACGCCAAATTCATTTCTATCACCTCAAAACAAACTTTTGATCTAAACCTCCACCATAAGGTTCATACTGACTCACGGCTCTCCTATCTATAGGTTCCCGAGAAACGTCTTATCGGCTGACAGATACACCAGAATAATCAAACTGTACGAAGCTGCAGGGGTGGCCTATGTAGCCAACTATATAGATATCATCTGTGGAAAATTATCTCATAGCGGCGTGCAAGGCTCTGTCCTCATGCGAAACCTCACACAAGTTAAATTGATCGATAACTATTCGAATACGAAATATTAAATAAAAATCAGAAAGTTTCAAGCCGATTAAAAAATTGTGTGAGGAAGACCAATAAAATTGGACTAATAAGAGCATCTACGGAAAAACTAAATTTATAGAAAATATTTTAAAAACTACTATTCCTATTTTTTTTCGTATTTCATATTCCTTATAAAGATAATTCTGTGACTTATTCTCCACTGACTCAACTGGATGTGTTATAATTTAATCTGGCAGACATCATTACACTTAAGGAACCCAAGAAATTATATACTAATATAATATTTAATTCTACTTTATTATAGAATAATGATTACCTCGTCAACAGGCTTGCTGGGCGTAATGGCGACGGTTTCATTGAAGCAAAGACAAGCGCAATAATGGCGGTTTGCGTCTACGTCTGTGAGTACAGACACAAAGAATCGTGGCTCTTGGCGCTCTGTGGAAAGGGTCCATCCTTGGGGTTGGCAGAACTGTAATAAGCATGAAAGGACACTTACATTGCAAGTCATCTGAGTTGATTAGAAATGATGTTTTACAAAATGGAATATTATAAATTTCAAAAAGAACAAACATTTTTTGGTAGAAAAATATTTATTAACCAGTCAAACTTTTCCTTAAATGACGTGAACTATTTTAAAACGTAATATGATTTTGCAATAAAAAATAATAGAATCTGTTACAATTACTTGATAAGCAGCAGCTATAAAATAAATAATAATGATTGCATTCAACCAACTATCTCTAAATAGTTTTTTTAGAGGTATAGAAATTTTAACCGAAATAAAAGTAATAAAAATCATGTTAAGGTCATGGTACTGGCTTTATAAAAAATGCAATTGAATGCCATTATTGCAATTGAAGTATGAATTGGAAATATGGGAGCCCCGGTTGCCGCGAAATAATAGCAATCTAGAAGTTCAATTTTGTACCACTTCCAAACTTTTTCCAGGCCTTAAAGCACAAAAAACGTTGAGTTTTTCTGTATATAACGGGGTCTCAATAGTGGATTCTGGATTTTCGTCGCTCCAAATTCGGTAATTTTGTTATTTACGCATCCATTGATCCAGAAACTATTATGTCGACCGTAAAATGAACGTAGCGCACGGTGAGTTTTGCAAACTGAACAGCGATATTCGAAATAAATTGTAGAATTTGGAGCGACGAAAACCCAAAATCCGAAAGCCTTTATTGAGACGCCGTTATATCCAAAAAAACTCACTGTTTGATGTGCTTTTTTATGGTCTAGTGGCATCAAAGTGGTGGAAAATTGTGCTTCCTCCGTGGATAGCTCTTCATTCGAGCCAGCCGTGGCGCCCAAATGCCCCAAATCATGTTTAAGCTATAATGGCATTTTCACAATAAAAACAGTACCATGACGTTAATATGATTTTTATTAGTTTTATTTCAGTTTAAAGTTCTATACCTTTCAAAAAACATCCTTCACTACATTTAATTGGTATATGTATTCTTAAGAAACATCTACTCTCTTGACCGAATAATAAGTAATAATTCAATTAATGTTATTGTAGAAACTACTATTCAGTCTTATAAAAAAAGTGCGGGTAGCAGGATAGACGGCAGGTCCTCTTGTTATTTTCGCGCGAAGCTCGATCGTCCGAACGGCTCGAAATTTCTATGCATGGTAATGCACTTTTCAACAAGGAAAAACTCTCGTATTTGTTTACTTTATTGTTAATTTCTATATAGTAAACGTAACAGTAGATGACATACTTTTATGTGAAGATGCCGAATTGTGCTGTGGAAATGTGGAAAAAAATTGTGAACAAAATGTGGATGTGGAAAATGTGGAAATGTTAAGTGCCGGACCGAATTTCGTGAACGGGTCCCCTGTGCAAAACGGTTTTTATTGAAAATTTGAGTTATTTTTAAGTTGTGATAGTAAAGTAGTTCAAGGACCAATACCCAACTATAGTATTAGGAGTTGGAATTAGTTTAAAATTTTTTTTTTCGAAATTTGAGGCTGTATTGAGCAAAAATGATTACAAATGGATTATTCAAAGTATTGTCCATCGCTAGCCACTACTTTTTCCCATCTTTCTGTCAATTTTCGAATACCATTTCCGAAGAACAGTTCGTCTTTTGATGCGATCCATGTATCGATCCATTTCTTTGTTTCCGCGTAAGAGGTGAAGTGCTGGTCAGCCAAGCCATAGGCGATCGTTCGGAACAAGTAGTAATCGGACGGGGCAATATCTGGGGAATACGGCAGGTGCGGTAGAACATCCCATTTCAACGTTTCCAAGTACTTTTTGACGGGTTTTGAGACATGAGGACGAGCATTGTCGTGTTGCAAAATGACTTTGTCGTGCCTCTGCTCGAATTGCGTCCGTTTTTTCCTTCAATGTCCGGCTCAAACGCATCAATTGTGTTCGGTAGTGGTCCCCGGTGGTGGTTTCGTTCGGTTTGTACAGCTGATAATAAATGACGCCCAGTTGATCCTATCAAATACAGAGCATGAGTTTGGATCTTTAGATATTCGGTCTTAGCGTTGATGACGATGTGTGGCCGCGGTATCTATACGATTTTTTACGTTTGGAGTTATCGTAAGGAATCCACTTTTCATCACCAGTGACGATGCAATGCAAAAAAACTTTCTTTCTCGGACGCGCGAGCAGTTATTCGCACGTCAGAAGCCGCCTCTCCACGTCTCTCGGCTTCAGCTCGTATGGCACCCAATTTCCTTGCTTCGCAATCATACGCATCGCTTTGAGACCTTTGCCGACTGTTGATAAGTCAACTACCAATGATACACACAATTCTTGGTTGTTCTATACAATTCTATGTTTAATGTTGTTTACACTTGCGCAAGATGACACATACTTACAATCCAAGCTATAATATAGTGCTTTAGCACGAATACAGTTTTGGAGTGCCCACATGCAACATACGATTATAACGCCATTTCTTAGAAAACCTTTAAAACTAATTCCAACTCCTAATGTAATACGCAATAGTATGCGTATAATAGTATAGTTGTGTTGGTGAATAAAATAAATTATATTCACTGAAATATAATATAATAGATGCCCCTGAAATCAACCGCAGCTTGTGAATAAAACGTAAACACATGGCGCGTTGGTCAAGTTTGGTGTGAATAATATATCGGGTGTCAATTTGAAAACTTTCCACCCTTAATACCTTTCTTGCAGTTAAAAATATTAAATATCGGAAAGATCCGTCAATTTTATTTGAAAGGGGGACACTTTAAATGAATATTTTTAGTCTCCTTATTTCAACCGCTTAGGAGGGGTAGATGTCACCCTGAGAATCTTAAATGAAAAGGAGGGTCACTGCACATCGTGTGCCACTGCCATCGTGTGTGCACATCGTTTAAAAGGGCGTTCAATTCCTCTTTACATTAGTTACTACTTTGTTGCATTTGTCCAGAGGTTTCCGAATAATCTGGTTTCAATGCTGTAGAAACAATTACACGTGCCTCGTGAAATAAACTGTAGGTCCCCTCTCCCTGACAAAGGTAAGTATCCGCCTCCACTCCAAGGAAGTCAATTTGTTGCAAGAGAGTGTGAAGGCAAGGAGGCGCCTCCTAGTGGACGACCATCGATGGCAGACTCCTAATAGGTAGATGCTTCCTCCGCAATTATACACTGTGGACACACGGTTCAATCACCAATCCCTAGTAGGTTTAGGTGTCTGTTCAAACCACAGTGGCCTGACATAATTCCAACCAGAGTTCTCAGGGCCCAGCAACTCTTGACATTTGGATGTTGCCTTGGCATCACTTGAGGTTCTAATCAACCAGTTGTCTTGTCTACATTGTTCCGCCTTTTTCCACATCTCTGTGGTGCTTCTAAGAGGGCAGCCATTTAGAGCGCTTGCTACCTGTCGGTTACTTATCCGAGCCTTGCCAATTCGTCGAACCTCTCGTTTCCCGCAAACCCCATGTGCAGCGGAATACACACTAGGTTTACTTGTATCTGTTCTGCCATTTTGTTTAGGATATTCCAGCAATCCTGGATCAGTCTACTGTCCATCTTAACACTTGAGAACGCCTTGAGGGTAGGCTGGCTATTGGATTAGATCTCGATCACTCACTCTAGTCCTCCTGTAACTTCCCTATCTGAGCCAACCTCGAAAATTGCATATTGTTCCGCTTAAAAAACACTGTCGTCCAGCTTCCCAGCGAAAAGTACGTTCACTTGTTGGTGTCTTGCCGGGACACGCCTGCCCCAGACCATTCCGTATTGTGCGCCCGTGAGCCGTCGGTGTTCAAACATTGCACCTCCTTTCGGGCAGCCACTGTCCTAGTATTCCAATTTTCTTTTGTTGGGATTTCTACCTTAAATTTCCTTTCGAACCTAAGTCCGCTGTCAGATGGGACCACCTGACATCATAGGATGGGAAGATCCCGACGCATGGCCGTCCCTTTTTTGTATATCCTTGACGTAGGTGGTTGACATGCCTTGTAGAGCTGCATTATATCCCGTGTAGCGCCGCAGCGGCCTCCCTGCGTATCCACAGGGTTAGCTCAGGGAGGCCCAAGCGGATGTTTAATATTTTGCTCGGTATCATCCTCACTGCGACGGTCATCGCTAGGCAGGCCACTCTTTGCAGTCGCGTCAGTTTCCGGGATATGCATGACTTTTCCATCGCCGGCGACCAGCCACGGAACGATAACAGATCCTCGGTCTTATAACGGCAGTGCAACGGCGCTTCATAACTTTTGGTTATAGGCCCCAGTTCTTCCTAGCGCCCGTCGCAGGTGCCACAGTGACAGTAGCCATTTGCTAGGTGCTTCCTTGACCTCCCCCACGAGGGGAAGAGCATTGATCCAGCATCGGTGCATTCTTTCACTATTATTCTACATGCAACATGCATTCTCTCGCAGACAACGCCCAAAAACTTCCCCTTAACGAGGACTAGGCCGTCGTCGACATAGGCTTCCGGGTCTGACCGCCCCAGGGGCTCGTCCATAACCAGACACCACAGGCGCGAGAAAAGTCAGCTGCCTTATGGACAGCCCGCACTCCGGACCTAGTTTATTACTGAACAGGGAACCCCTTTGAATTTAAGAGCATTGCAGATATTGCTTGTTCTGGCCTTAACAAAAGACCCCTCCACGTCTAAAAAGAGAGCCAGTGTCACTTCCTTATCTTGAAGTCCTTGTTCAGCTTTTTGCACGGGCTAAAATAAATACTGTTAAATGTTTATTAAGTTTTGTTTCAGTGAAAATTTGAGCATAATATTTTTTTATTTAGAGATCCAATTTGACTTACCTAGTTCAAAAGATCAATAAAAGTTTCAATGTGCAATATCTCGAAAAAGGTGAGCGATATCGACTTGAACCAAAGGCGCATTTTTTTTTTAAGAACTATCGGAGAACGAAATGATACCAACGAGACAAGCGATATTTTAAAACCCAAAAAACTTCTGATACTTTAATTGCCATCCAGACCATTGCAGCTAGCGCTCTCTTATGAACTACAAGCTAGGCAATAGGAATTTTGAATTTATCGATCTAAAACAACCCAGATCACGATTTTTTGGAAGGAGTAAAACTGGTTTATTACAAAAACAAAAAACATTTTGCACTTTAACACTCTGTACCTCGGAATCTATTAACTTTCGGGTTAAACAAATTTGCCTGAAACGCAATATTTTTGACCTAAACATTATGTGAACTAAATTTTGTCACATTAGTTGAGGACCACTGTGTATAGGTATATGAACCAAACCGATCTATTAATTTGGATAGTGAACTTATAAAATTCCCACTAAAGGGATAGCCAGAACTATGAACCAGACTAAATAATATATTCAAATAATTCTACCAATGTAAAAGTTATAAGGACTGAATATGCGCTTAACGGAAATCACGGATCCAAAACTTGCTTTGGAACGGCCTGCAGTGACTTTAATAAACAGTTGATTAAAAAAGGTTATGCATGATATGAATATTTCTGATTTTAAAGTAGGTACCTACTTAAACAGATTTGTTTCTAAACACAAACAATTTGAAAACAGCTATGAAACGAGTGTGGAGGATGTTAATTATTAAAATAAAAAATAACGGATTCGTTCCAATCTATGCATGCTTGTTTCGTTAATATTCTAATCGCAGATGCATTAATTATTCAGGCTCTTAATAAATTACGATGAAGTGGCTTACGTGAAATTATTTGCCATACTGCTTTTACTTTTTGCTTGACGACTACGCAAGACAATGGATGTAATAAGTTAATATTATTAATAATACAAAATTTGTTAGAAAATTGATTTAATCATGACATAATTAATTCTCTAATAAAAAATAACATGTTATAATATCAGATTAAATGTTTTGCCTGTCTACTAAGCAAATATTACATATTTTAAAGTGGAACGCTAATAAATTAAACTCTCAAGATAATAGAAAATTGCTTGAAAACAACTAAATTTTCTATTATATTGAGGGATGCAAATTCGTAAACCGACGATTAAAACTGCAACTGAGACGTGTACGATCAAATTACAGGGTTGACCGGACTTTGCTTTTGGTTATGGTTTCGAACCATGTCTGATTATTATTTAGATAAATACTCACTTGTTGCATTGGATGCAACATATCGTATTGTTTTGATTGGTATCGATGTCACAATTGTGTACACTAAATTGAATATTCTCGATCGAATTACACGTACAACAGATTGAGTTTTCAGTAGTAAAATAAAGCAGTTCAGATTGTTCGTCCAGACAATATGTTTCATTAATAAAAAGTACCATCGTAGCTAACTTATTGACTTACCCATTCTATTCCGTCAATAAAAGGGGTATCAGACCAATCCTTTTCAGGGAATCGCTGTAAGATTAATCCACTTCCTGCAATTACACATTTTTATTTCCACTGATAGCAAACTTATTTTATATTGAATAACATAGCACTTAGCATTCTTGATTGGTAATTTGCTCATTCGACTTAGTGATATTGTTCTACGTTTATAGTAGAATAGCTTTTGCCCATAAACCCTTAATAAGAACTTTCTAACGAGAGTGTACAATAAGTATAAACATATGAGTTTAATCACACTTACTTTCTTTTTGGTAATCATATCCTACAATGACAAAATAATCGGCAAGTCTCGACATATTCTATTTACTTTGTAGATTTAGCAAAACAATAGATTCTTTTTGTTTCATCTTTACCAATTAGCCAGTGTTTTAAATAGGAAATTACTCATAAATCGCTGCTGGGTCAGTTATGCCTCAGGTTTCTAAAATTCTCTTGCTCCTCTCAATCACTATCAAGTCTGACTGATATCGATATTCTCCTAGCCAGTTCTAAACACATTCCTCTAATGTTTATTTACGTTAATTAATCGGCCACACCCTGCAAATATTTATATTTTGACCAACAAAAAGCTTTACGCCATTTTTACGGACACAACTTTGAACCTGTTTTGACAACTGTATCTGTCACACAGAATCTGTCAGATAGTTTTGATTAGATAGATCGTGCATAGGGCGTTTATTTTCATGCGTTTACGACAGCACTCCCGGCGAATTCTGGTATTTCCGATTGCCTAAAATCGGTGAGAAGCAAATTGGTGTTCACAAGCGATATTAATCTATTTCTGTATCACAGATTACCAAGCTCTTGATTCAGTCAGTTCTGTGTGTGTGCATGATAGTAAGATTCTCACGCATGTGAATTGTCAGTTTCCTGGTCTAGACCAAGTGAATTTGTTCTCACCGATTTTAGGCAATCGGCAATACACAAATTTCCCGGAGTATTTATACGCGTTGTTACTCGTGATTATAAATGCCCAGCAGTGCAGTAAGAGGTTGCCAATTTAAATGCAAAGAACTGGCAACATACTAATTTGCAAACATCCTACAGGTACTTATATTAATAATTATTATTAGATCATATTCTCGGATATTTTAAAGAATTTAGGAAGTTGTTTAATATGTTAAAATTTGCTGAGAAGCAGTGCTGTAAGGACTAAGATTTTTTACTTTTAAAAATATCTAAGGCACAGCTTTATTCATTAAAATGATGTGTATAAAGGTGATAGTGTTGTTTGAGACCCTCCGAATTTTGGTTATTTCAGCGAAAAAAATTACTGGATGGACCATGAATCAAGCCAGGCACAATTGTCGCTAAGTGCATAATAATTGTGTTTTTCGCAAAAGTTTGAGCGAACATAGCGAATTGATTGACGTTAACTAGCGCGGCGATTGTCAGAGTCAGGGCGTTCATTTTAGACCTGGGTAACACTGTTTTGAGTTGCGCTTTTGAATTGATGCCGAACTGTGAGTTGTGAATTAAACTCCCCCGTTTCACTGCGCTTGTAGAAGACATCATCCACCAATTCATAGATGGCACCACCCACTCTGGTTATTTCATTATCATCACATTTAACCTCATTCAAGGCATGGGGGCTCACTCATATTGCCATGCGCGTACCCATGTTTTTGGGAGCGCAGCCCCGCCATCTGTGACTAGTTGGTCCAAGATAAATTGAAGGAAGAGACAATTTAACAGTTTCCACTTAAGGGCATAAAAGAGACAATCTTATAGTTTCCACTTATACCCACTTGCACCAAACTTCTTCTAAGCACGTCCTTACCTAAGTATACCTTGAAATTTAAGCCCGACTTAAGTTTCAATGAGTTGCACCATCCGTTTTTCACGTGTTCTTAGCTAAGCTTCA